TTCATTTTTTTTTTATATATTTTCTGGCATATGTTTTTTTTTAATAATAGCTATTTATTGATTACTATTCATTGAATACTGAATGGCGAATTATTTGTTGAAAAAAGGTGAACTTGCCTAACTATTGCATCTAGTTCTTGAATTCGTGAATACGTATTAATGATTTCTATATTTCAAGTGCCTTCACTACATTAATTCTATAATCTTTTTCACGCATTTCTTTAATAAATTTATAGCTAAATAAGTACAAAAGGAATACATATATTTCCATTGATAATCTTTATTCTATCTTTTTGTATCCACAATTTTTATGGATAATAGAGTATATGTTTCATAGTCATGTTTGGAGAGAGAAAGAGGAGATTTAGACTTATCCGAATAAAATGCAAAGAAATGTGAAGAGCGATATAATTTATATAGGGTGTCCCAGAATTAGACCGACAAACTTCAGGTGGTTAAGGATACCAAAACAAGCCAATTTTGTGGATAAATCCGTGTCCGCAAATGAGCCATTTTGATATTAGAAAATCAAAGACTAACAAGGGCAAAAATCTTTTAAAAAAACTTGTTTCAAAATTTGATTAATGTGGTTAAATAGAAGTATTTTTGCCATAAAACTTTTGTATAAAACATTTTTTGATATCTCGAATGATTTTCGAGATATATCGAGAAAAGCAAAAAGCCGCTAGATACCCTGTATATATGATAAAATGAAGAAACTTCGTTACGCCGAAGTCTGCGTAACGCGTAAGAGCGCGTTATCACATCGCGTTACCTCGAGTAACATAAGCCCCGTGACTTGCAAAAAAAACAAAAAAAAAAAAACAGAATAGTTTCCCACAAAGAAAGCTTTCAAATAACTTTTTTGACGTGAGTACTCCCACTTTAGAAAAAATAAGCCGTGTCAAGTCCTTTTTCACACATGCGAATAATTAATTCTAATTGGGTTCGTGTGTCGTTCTCTCTCTTATAATAAGATAGAATCTTGAGAGTGGCAAATGAAATAATAACACAAATTCATTATTGTATCAACAAGCCGTGTCGCAATTCACAGCTCCAATTGCACTTGTACAATTATTACTTCTAGCGATTTTTTTCTGTTCTATTCATAGGTATTTATTCGCATATTTAGATTTTCACAAATACTGTGATAAAGACAGTTCAGGATACGTAATCATATGTGTTGTACGATTAATGGACTTTATGCTATATTAGACATTCTACACTACACTGTAACATATTTCGATTATGTTGCCATAATGAATTATCGTGCGCATATTTCTTGCGAAAGAAACATTGTGACATACCTGTAGTAAAAGCCAGGGCTTGCGGAATTAAACCCATACATTCTTGCATGCGATGTAATCGGACAAATGGGAGAAAGGATTTAATCATATTGAGGATAGTACACAATGATAGTATATGTTTTTATACAACGGCATATCAACGTCAATCAAAGTATATTTGCTCGATTTTTTGTGGACAGAGTTTTATTGCGCAAACTAAGTCATGATTTTTTTTATATACCCACTTATCTAAAATAATCTCTGTAATATTTACAAAATCATAAGTGTTAGATGTATATGCGTGTATATATTCTATTCTTATACCTATATACAATATACAATAATCGTTTGAAAACTTTTCTTTGCAGTAGATGCTATAAATATTATTTACATTCATGAAAGATAAATGGATTCATGCCGTATAGATGTGACTTGCGGAAAAAAACCGTTTATTAAAAAATGCATGTCATACCGCGGTTTATTTTCGCTAAAAATAGCTCAAAGATCCTGCATACTGAATAATCGATAATTTGTGATCTTCTTCTAAAGTGATGTCTCATTTAGTAATACAAGACTTCTGTTAATCTCAATCTGACAAAACATCACATCGTATAAGCACAATATGTGACTATCTCGGAGAGTAATGTGCGTCAGCTGATTCAGTTCAGCCGGATGAATGAACGAGGAGTTTGCCAACTGTGATAGCTCTCATCAATCATGTCTTGGTATCTTCGCTCGAAAAAAAAAAAAAAGAAAAAAAATAGACGCTACGTACGAATTCTTTGTGCTCTCGCGAGGACGATCGTACCGAGAATTTCTTTCGACAATATATATATATATATAATATATATATATATATATATATATATATATATATATATATATATATATATATATATATATATATATATATATATATATATATATATATATATATATATATATATATATATATATATATATATATATATATATATATATATATATATATATATATATATATATATATATATATATATATATATATATATATCGCGAGAATTCGATCTATACTCTGAGTGCCCTCGCGGGTATTTTCTTCCACGAAGCAGCTTCCCCGATCGGGCGCGAAGGTTTTATTCAATTAATTCGCGTCACACCGCGGAACACGCGATCCGACCGCGACGAACACGTCCTAGGGGGTTTCGGCTCGCAGTTGGCACACGTGCGCAGGTGGAGTGTGGTTTTTGCCGGGCAGTGGTGGCGGCGGCGGCGACGACGACGACGATGGCGACGACGACGATGTTGGCGATGGTGGTGGTAGCAGCGGCGGCGGTGGTTTTTTGCGCCAACCGCGAGCTCTCTAGTGGCTTTTTCCCTTCTTTTCTTTGGTACCCGCCCGTGATACGAGAGGGAGAGAGAGAGGAAGGCGTTGGGAGAAGCGAGGAACATGACATCCCATAAGCGTGTGTTTGAGAAAGAGAGCGTAACGGCGTCGTCGCGAAAAAGAAAGATAAAGATGAAGGGAACTAGAAAGAGAGAGAGAGAGAGAGAGAGAGAGAAAAAGAGCAAGAGCAATCGGATCGTGGTTCGTTCCTTCCAGCTGGCCTGGCACGGCGAAGAGGTCTCGTCGCGCTGCTGCTCGTTCGGTCAATGTCTTCTCTTTCTTCCTCGCTCTTTCCTTTGCCATCCCTCTCGCTCTATCTCCCTTATCCTCGTCCCCTCCTATCGTCGTCTCCTCGCGGCTCTTTCTCTCGCTTCTTCTCCTCGCTCCCCGTTCTCTTTCATCGCTACCCCCCACCAGCAGCGCTCCCGTGCTGCATCGCGCACACACGAGACACGGGTGTCTGCGAAATCCCTCTGTCATCTTGCGAACGCCCGTCCGCGGCGAGATTATCCCGCGCCGATCGCGAAAAATCAGTCCATCGTGTCATCATCGTCGTCGTCGTCCTCATCGTCCTCATCGTCGTCGTCGTCGTCGTCGTCGGTGGAGAGTCGCATGGCGAGATCCGGTATCGCGAATCAACGATAACGTTTTATTCGTCTCGTTCGCTCGCGGAAAGAAAGAGAAGGCGGCAGCGCGTTCGGAAATGTGCACTGGTGTCGCGGTTTGAAGGCTCGCTCCGACGGAGAGAAGGAGGCCTTCTCTCTCGTCTCGCCCGACCACGTCCGACCTTTTTTCACCGGCGGTCGCGCGCAACAGCGTGTGAAAGTTCCGCGATCCGTTTCGCCGCGGACTCTCGACTCTACGCATCATCGACGATCTTCCCAACATCGTCGTCATCGTCGTTGTCGTTGTCGTTGTCGTTGTCGTTGTTGTTCTTTACCTCTTGTTGCTTTAATCGAGCTATTTTCGCGGCGAGATTCCTCTCTCGCACGGTGTTTATACGGTGTTGTTCCGAGTGCGTTCAGCAGTGAGACAGTGCGAAAACTCGATGATCGTGCGATTCGAGAGCATGGCTCTTGGCGACGTCGGTATCGTCACCGTACATTGCTAGAGCAGCGGGTATCGCGCGGGCGCGAAGAATGAAACACGACACCGCGGATTCGCGAGCGGGATACGACTAGCGACTTTCGGGAATTCGATAGCGGCGTCGTTTCGCATTTGTCGCGAACGCAGGTGGGCATCTCATGTATATTCGTGCACCGATTTAATTAGAATTTGATAATGTCAGATTAATGCTCATCATACTTGGTATATTTCATTACTGACAAAAACGACGGCGAGATTCGTGGATAATTTTTTTTTTTTTTTTTTTTTATATTTTTGTTATTTTTTTATATATGTACGAATATTAAGAATAATATGTAAATAAAAGATTTCTCTCATATTAAAGGTAAAATTAAAATTTATGGTAACAATTGTGTTACTGTTACAAATGTATTTTTAATATTTTCTAGGTGATTGAAAAGGAATATAATATATATCAAATTAATTTAGAAAAATTATATTCATATCTATAAGATTTTGAATTTGTCATATAGATATATATATA